TCCACCCCATTGCAATGGGCTATTTAGAAGATTATTGGCAAAAATAATTGCCATGGGTCAAAACCCAGGGTCTTAACTTATTACGTATACTTATTAATTAGGATTTGGTGTTAAGGGAGAAGGCATAGTTTCGCATGTCATTTGTATTCCTAAATCCTCCTCCTAACATGGCTATTATCAAAATAGACTTTAAAAATGCTTTCAATAGCAAATTTTGTGAATTTCATAAATTGTTTTTATCCCAAATGATTATTCAAAATTCCTAGAGACATACTGTAACATTAAAACTTCTTTACTCAGCCCACATGTCATAGATTCTGACAAAGGGATCCAGCAAGGGGAAAACGTTCTCGTTTATTTTACCTTGGTATTATTATCACATCCATTATCTTAAATCTAAATTTGATTTGGATATAATTATTTGGCATCTTGATGATGGAACAATCTGTGATGTTCTTCTTAAAATATTGGTTTTCAATATCTTGAAGCCAATTTTAAAAGACTCATTCTTAATAAATCCAAATCCGAAATCTGTTTCCATGATAACAATTTACCGGCATAACTTTGTTTTAAATATTATACATAGCCCTCCACCATGCGTATTATGATAATTCAGCTTATTAAAATGAACCTTTAATGTTTTAGCGAGTAAATTCTGATATATAACATTTTTAAATGATTATATTTTTTTTATATAGTATTTTAAAATAATACACGCCAACTTGCGGATTTAATATTATTGAAATTTAAAATTTAATTATAAATATTTTTAATATAATTATATTAAAGGATTTAAACTATTTATTATGAGATAAAGAAAATTCAACTATTATTGTATATTCCTTGATTATTAAATATATCTAATAATTTAAATTTTTATAAGTTATTTATATCATAGGAAAATAAATCTCATTACAAATAATAGATAATATATGAAAATTTTTACATAAGCACGGGCAGTTAACTTTGGCCTTTGCAATTTAACTTAACATTTGCAGTTTAGTCAAAGTGGTAAATAAATATATTCTAAAGATAGGAAGCGACAACAAGAAATAATAATTAAATATATTATATGCAAATAATGTATTTTTTATAGCCAAAAGTTAAAATTTAAAAAAACATTCAAAAAATATTTTTTTTAAAAAAAATGGAAGCCGTAACAATCCCCAATAACGCAGGAAGCTAAATTTTATAGATACTCCATGTAGCCAGGAAAGTGTTGAACGTTATTTTTCGACACTTTATACTAACAATTTTTATTTAAATTGTACTTAGAATATTATGCTAACCATTTTTCTCATAGATGGTATTAAGGTCTAAACATCTATTATCGGAATCTGAGGCTTAGTTATTATTTTTGGCTAAATTATTGACTTGTCCCTTTTAAAAAAATACTAATTTTAAATAAAATCAGTTTTTCAAAAATAAATAAGTATTTATATGAGATAGTTTGCCACCATGAATCTTTATCTAGGGTTCTTCTACACTAAAATATTAATATAACATGTTACCAATAAGATTTTTACTATTTGATAATAGAGTTTAAAAATAATTATGACTTTTGTCACTTTTCTATGGCACATTTTATTGAAAAATTAATTAACTAGTTTATAATTTATATTTTTGCCATTTTCTTCAAAATATTCCAAAAAAATTACCAACATGGCTATTATAATTTTTTCATCACTGAAATCTTGATTTAACATGTTTACAGTATATATTTTTATCTATTTGAAAAAAATTACCAACATGGCTATTATAATTTTTTCATGGTTTTTCATCACTGGAAATATTACGGTATATATTTTTATCTATTTGCTTCAATTAAATTTAAAATAGTATAATAATAATGATTATGACAATTTGTCACATTTATATGGGGCATCTTCACTGAGATTTTAATTTAACATGTTAACAATATCTATTTTTGCCCATTTGTCTTAAAAAAATTCAAAAAAGTTTAAAAATAACGATTATGACAATTGTCACTTTTAGATGGTACATCTTATGTGAAATTTTAATTTAACATATTAAAAATAAATATTTTTGCCCATTAGCGTCAAAAAAAATCTAATATGTTTAAAAATACCGATTATGATAATTGTCATTTTCCCAAGGAACATCTAAATTCTAAAAAGCTCAAAAATGACGATTATGACAATTGTTACTTCCCTATGATACATCTTCACTGAAATTTTAATTTAACATGTTTACATAATATATTTTTACCCATTTGCCTTAAAAAAAGTCAAAAATGACGATTATGACAATTGTCACCTACCTATGGTACATCTTCATTGAAATTTTAATTTAACATGTTTACAATATCTATTTATCCATTTGTCTTAAAAAAGTTCAAAAATTACGATTATGATAATTGTCATTTTCCTATGGTACATTTTCACTGAAATTTTAATTTAACATGTTTACAATATTTATTTTTACCAATTTGTCTTAAAAAAGTTCAAAAATTACGATTATGATAATTGTCACTTTCCTATGGTACATCTTCACCGAAATAATTTAACAAGTTTACATAATATATTTTTACCCAATTGCTTTAAAAAAATCAAAAAAGTTCAAAAATTACGATTATGACAATTGTCACTTTCCTATGGTGCATCTTCACTGAAGTTTTAATTTAACATGTATACAATATCTATTTTTACCCATTTGCCTTAAAAAATCAAAAAAGTTCATAAATAACGATTATTACAATCACTTTCCTATGGTACATCTTCACTGAAATTTTAATTTAACATTTTACAAAATCTATTTTTAACCATTTTCTTAAAAAAAATTTAAATAAGAGTCGTAAAAAAAGACCTGAAGTTTGAATTTGAGTCGAAAAAACGACCTAAACTTTGAATCGGAGTGGAAAAAAACGACCCAAACTTCATGTCTGTGTCGAAAAAAACGACCCAAACTTCATCTCTGTGTCGAAAAAAACGACCCAAACTTCATCTCTGTGTCGAAAAAAACGACCCAAACTTTGAGTTAAAAAAACGACCCATATTTTGGTGTCGAGGTCGTTTTTTTCGGCTTGGTCGAAAAAAACTAGCCAAACTTTGAGTCGAAGTCGAAAAAACGACCCAAACTTTGAGTCGGAGTCGGAAAAAACGACCCAAAATTTGGGTCAGCTCTGTTCGAACCTCGGCTAAGCCGATTAACAACGTCCATAACCATAGAAGCTTTAATACTGGATGTATAATTGCAGAAAAATATATTGATCTTCATATATATGTGTTCATATCTTTAAAAAAAATAAAATATATAATTAATTTGATAGCGATAGGTTTAATACTTTTTATTAATCTCATTTAATACTGCGTTTATCAATTGGTTGACCATAATTTCGACTTAATTTTTTTTAAATTTTAAAATAACTATAATTATTGTTGGGGTCAAATAGCCCAAATGCCTTTTTTCTTCAAATATAATGATTTTACTTAGTTATATTATATTATATAAAATAAAATAATTTATATTACAATCAGATGTCGTTTTAAATTGGAACTTGAAGATTTTTAAACTGATATACAACTTTTTAGGCATATTTTACATTTGGTAAATATTGTAGTTCCTTTTATAGGATGTTAACTGTAAAATATTTATCATATTTGGGCCATAGGATTTTGAATTTTCAGAATCAGATGATCATGAAATAATAATATCCATTTTTATGCTAGTCTATTAAATTAAAATATAAATAATATTCAATAAAAAAAATTGAAATGTGAAAAAGGAAAAACAGTTGATTATAAAATATAAGACTTTTTTTCTTAAAAAATTCGGATTAATATTAAATTTTTCAAATAAATAAAAAATAAAAATTGTTTTTAAAATTGAACGAATTTTAAATTCGAACGCGTTCGTCATAAAAAAAGGAATGTGTTCACGTTCAAAGTTCGTCAAAAATAAAAAAAAACGCCGTTCATCATTTTTTTCAAAAAAACGAGTTTCAAAATAAACGCGTTCATTTACAACACTAGTTACTACTATTTGTGGAGAATAGTAAGATATTTTTAGGTAAATTAGGTATACTATATTCGTTAGTATAACATCGTGTATTAAACATTAAAATATCAAAAGGAATCATGGACCTGTTAAACGATTGAGGGGTTCGGCAAAATCTATATTATTTTTTTATCACAATATAGTTAATTCGTAATATTAAAAATTTCCCATAGTGGAAATAAGTCTTGCCGATTAAAAAATTTAACTCATGCCTGGCTCAACTATATAAAAAATTGCAAATATTCTTCTTTTTTCAAAATTTATTTTTCCTTGTAGAAAAAAGTTATATAAATTTCTTTTACAAACAAAATCATGGAGTGAAAATTTATCAAAAATTTACCTTGTCTCTAAATTAATTTTGAATAAGAAATTATATCTGAATTAATTTTAGGAAGATCGATATTTTTTAATAAATAAAGGGTGAAAAACGTTCATATAAGTGAATGGGGTGAGGGGGGGGGGTAAAAGAAGGTGATGGGCATTTGGGAAATATACCATTAGAATGCGTAAGATTTTCAAAAAAATATTTTAAAGAAATTTGCTCCAAAAGATGAAGACGTGAAACCAACTTTAAAGTTAACCATTTTGAAATCGAAACAAATGCCAACGAGTTAATAAAATGAATTAAACAAGTTATATAATATTTTACTTACAAAGTTATAATAAAACTATAAAATAAAGTAAAAAGTTAAAATTAGATATCAAAAAATTATACATAAAAAAATTTACAAAAAGTTTAAACTTAAAAAAAGCGCCTTCGAAAAAATAATATAAACTAAAAACAAAAATCGTTTATAAATAATTATTCTTTTATTTTGCCCACCATTCAAATTGAATAATATAATAAATTTGCAGGAACTATACAAAATATAAATTATAAAGCTCATGATAAATATGCAGATCTTCTACAAAAGTATAATTCAGCAAACACAATAATTATTTTTATCAAAATTTTAAATTTCATAAAATAAAAAATTAAACAGGCACGTGTTTTAACAGATGGAAAGCTATCATATCCGAATCACTGTAATGCGGATGCATGCAATAGCCGCAGTTTTTCTCCCTTGCTTGATTCTTCCTTTAACCAGTTCATTAATTCGCAAACGATAAAGTACGAATTCGATGGTCTTGTTTGCTTTCTCTTATATTTTAAATTAAAAAAACTTTTATTCTTTGTTTCATATTTATTCTCTCTTCGCTTTTAGTCGTTTAAACATTTTTTGCACACTTTTATTTAAATCAGAAATTTGCACAATCGGAATATTTCAATTATTCGAATATTATTCCAAACGAACAATATTCGAATTATTCGTAAAGAAGAAAAAATTTAGTGTCGCTATTTATTAACAATTTTTAAAAGACAAATTTTATCTAATGTACTCTTAATTTTGAAATGAAAAATTATTTGATTTAGATACATCTAAAATATTTTATTCATCAATAAATTATTTTATTTACAATTGAAAATAAAATATTATAGAAGGAAAGATACTGTCAACGAGTTTAAAATCAATTCAGGTTTAAACAAAAAATGTAATATTTATTTAAAAGTGCATATTCAATTTTTCTTAAAAAAATAAAGTAATCATTTATACATTACAATGCCTGGTCAGGGTTTCTAATTTTCATTAAGGCCTCATTTATAGTGCTGTGAAATAACGTTAAGTAACGCTATTCGTTACCTTCTTCTAGAGGTAACGAGTAACGGAACGCGTTTCTTTTTTTGAGTAACGGTAACGCAAAGCGTTACTCGTTACTTTATATTTTTTCTTAAAAAATATAAACAAAAAGAAAAACATATTTTATTGTATTATAAAATTACTTTTATTATTTTTTATTTTTTAATTATTAATATAAATAATTTAATCCGAGTTTTAATTCATATCAACCACTGCCTTCATTTTTATTTTAAATTCTCGTTGTTAAATTTATGTCGAAATTAATATTCAATCAAAATTCAAAGTAAATGTTAATTATGATATTATTATTCTTATAATTTATTTTAAGAATATTATGTCCATAGCACTTACTTCTTCAGATGAAGATGATTTAACCCTTCCCTGGCCCCAATTTGAAATATATTTTAAACTGATGTATTTAGATATTAGAATATTCATGATAATTTTCTTTTATTTTTATGAATTACATTTTTATTATCTCCCTTTTAACCAAAAACAATTTTCCTTTTATATCTTTTCTTTAACAATAAATAAATAACATATTATGTAAAATAAAAATGCTCGTTTAAATATAAATACAAATTGATATCAAAAAAATGTAATGTTAATATGATATAAAAAAAATGTTAATATAAGATAAAAATTATTTCACCGAAAGGTATAACAAACAAAATCAGATTATTTAACATTCCACCCTCCAAAGAAATCCGGCTTATGATTTCCTTGGATATGTTGAGTGGTAACGTCCTTAACGTTCATGATCGCCACGCAATACGCCACCCATGTTCATGGTGCAGTCTTCTTTTCAAACCGAACGATGGCTTGGTGAGGTAAAGGCAGCCCTTAGCTAACTTCCCAATCGGATCGCTTGTGCATGGCATCGGGAATCTATCCTCTCGATCAAGGTTTATGTTGTCCTTCAGCCAGCCGTCCAATTCACTAGTCATCGCATCAACCCTGGCATATGGAACTCTCCTTGTAGGTATGATCTTAGGCACGGCATCGAGCTTCAAGTGGATTTTCTCTTGTCTGACCACTTTGGGTTTGTAGGAGTAAGGTGATTCGAGGTCTTTTTTTGTTGTCGAGATCACCTTCTCGAGATCATTCTCTACATTACCCACTAAGAACGTTTTTAATATGTTGTTGAAGGCGTGGAGCCACATACGCCCTAGCAGGGGGATTTTATCACAATCCACAACTATGGCCTCCAGCGTTTGTGGGTTACCTTCAAACTTAACGTTCACATTGACCAGACCTAATATCTTGATGGCGTTGCCGTCATACCATGTCAGTTTCATATCCGTCTTACGTATCGTGGTTATGCCTTCAGTCTTAGCTGTATGCTTCGGAAGTATAGTGTACCTTGGGTGTCTACTTGCATCAACGTGGTTATGTTGTTGATGCTCACCGTTACGTTGTACGCGTCATATCTGGTATCGTTAACCCCCAGATTGTACACTTCCAAATTCTGCAGATTATATTCTTTAAGGTCTGTGTATGAGTCGTCGTAGTAGTAATCGTTGCAATTGTCGAAACGGTTGCGGTTATAGTGACAATTATCGTAGCTTTGATCAAAACGATTGTCGTGGAAGTTGTCGTGCCATCCATCGTATCGTTTGTTTCAGCAATCGTAACGTTCATCGAAATGTTGTCCGTGGCGATTGTCATTGATGAGCTGGGGTTGCTTGGTAAGAGATTTACTATGTGCATGAGAGTCCTGAATGGGTTTTATGATTACGTGGCTATTTTTGGCTCTGCCCATGTGATTAACCTCTTGTACTCTAGGTGCAAATGAAACAATTTCATCACGCCCTTGATGTCACTTGGCTCCGCGGTGTATTCCTCTAGACCTAGATTGTAATCTTCTATAATCATAGAGCTCCTGACCGCTTTCCTGACATCTTTGGAATTCGAGCAACTCTCACTTTCTCAATAATGCGCTGAAAGCCATTGAATTTGCATTCTTTATTGAGTCTTGCTATGCGTGTGACCCAAGCTGAGAACGTCTCATCCTTGCCTTGAGTGGCAGCATAAAATAATGAGAGTTTGACGTTCTCAGTCTTCTACGGATGTTGTAGCTTGAATTTGCCAAGAAGAGCGATTGGGTCCTGGAAGTCTGCTTCCGTGCAAATTGCTCCATGTTATTGAATTCATCATCTGGAAGACTTTGGAAAAACAACGCGGCCTTTTCTCTGTTGAAGATCTTGCTAGTGTCGAAGAAATTTTGCAATTTCCCTATATAAGCGCTGTCATCGTTACTAAATTTAGGGAAATCCAGCTTGACGAATTCGGTCATATATGTGAAATTATTTAATGCATCCATCGTAAAAGAATTATAATCTATAAAAGCGTAATATAGAATTCATGTATAATAAAATCAAGATCGAATTTTGAGATAATACTTACGCGAAGTTCGGACATAATTTGGCCTCCATGATGTATTTAGATAGAATTCTCTATTATATATTATTAGAATATTCATAATAATTTTATTTTATTATTAAAAATTACATTTTATTTTTATGAATTACATTTTTATTATCTCCCTTTTAACCAAAAACAATTTTCCTTTTATATCTTTTTTTAAAAATAAATAAATAACCAATTATGTAAAATAAAAATGTTCGTTTAAATTTAAATACAAATTGATATCAAAAAAATGTAATGTTAATAATATGATATAAAAAAAATGTTAATATAAGATAAAAATTATTTCACCTAAAGGTATAACAAAGAAAATCAGATTATTTAACATAAACCAATAAAGAAAATTAATGGTACCAAGTCTACACTTTCGAAATGTAAATTATATCACAACACAAATATTTCAACCTCAATGTCCAGCAGTTCAAACTTAAAAAAGCATTTGAAGGTAAAAAGATAAATTAATATATCATTATTTTAAATATTAATTTAATAATAGAATAATATTCTTTCATAATATTTTGAAAAATTTATCATGGAATTAAAATATAAGTAGGGCTATGTCGATATTAAATATCGGATCGGATCGGCACCGATATTTATAATTTTCTAAAAAATATCGGATCGGGCCGATACCCGTAAAAACCGATCCGATCTTTTTACTTTTCTTTTTTTTGTTATTTTATTTTATGTTATGTATATTTATTTTACATTATTATAATATTTTCTAATTTTTTTTAAATAATGCAAAGGCACAACACCCTTTAAATTTTATTCTTTTTTAAAATAGATTGATAATATTTTAAAAGTTTTTTTTTATTAAAATAGAAAGGAACACCCAAAGTTTTAATAATTTTAAATCTTTTTAAATAATAACGCCAATTTTATTAATTATACTTTAAATAAAAGAATATTTTTAAATATGGTATCTGAATTATGGAAATATTTTACAAAAGACAAAGATAATTTTGCAAAATGCGTTATCTATGGAACAAATTATGATGCTAAAGTCAAAATTAAATTTCAGACATCATAGTTTACCTACATTATTGCAGGGAATATAGATACTCCATATCGTAGAAGCTTATTGCCAGAAAATCTAGAGACTCGTATTTATTTTAAAAAATCTAATATACTATAATTTTATATATTAAATACAATTTTATAATTCATAACAACATAAAATGGATATAGTATCAAATATATGTTTTTTAAATTATAGTCTTAATTGTAGAATTAAAAAAAATTAAATTAAATGCATAATTTGATTTTTTGCATAAAAAATATTGATTTCTTAATTACATTTGGTTCAAAGGGGGGTGGTAAAAAACAATATAAATATCTGATCGGTATCAGTATCGCATAAGTTTTGGAGCAATATCGGATCATATCGGTGAAAATATGTGGATCGGCACAGCCCTAAATATAAATAATTAAATTATACTACAGTATTGGGCTGGAAACCAACATTAAAAACCCAAAATTAACAAAATATTGGTGTTGGTTCAAAGTGTTATATTAAGTTTTTTATATCTTCTATTTCTTGTTTAGTATTGCTTGGTTTGACTATAATTGTTAATAAATTTAAAGAATAAAAAATAATGATTTTAAAAAACTTTATTTAAATAATAAATATATATGAAAAAGTGGCGTAGCTAGGATTAATCCAATAACAATATTTTACAGAGAATTTCATTATAGATTTTATTTATTATTAAAATACTATATATAACATCCCATTATTTAACCAGCTGTGTTGAGCACTAAGCACTCTTGTTTGTCTGATCAAAATTTTGAAATCAATTGTTACTAAAAATAAATAAAAAATTGTTACATAAAGATGTTATCTTAAAATATATTATTTTTTTATAATTTTATGTATATTATAATTAAATATATGAATATTTTTTTAATTCTTTTTGTATAGTTTTATTTTATTATATATTGTCGGAAAAAATTAATATTATTTTTGTATATATTTAACTTTTTTAAGTAACGAGTAGCCCGT